ATGGGCAGGCTGCGCAAAGCCAACTCTTTTATTTATTATTATATTTTTTGAACTTTTCACTAAAGACGCTCCTAGTAAAGGTACGCATCTCGCATATAGTAAAGATGATATGTGCGCATGCGCAGGCTGCGCAATGGCAACTTGATAGATATTTCTTTGAAATTTTAACCATTAATTTTGTATTTTTTACGGCTTTATTAACCGATTATTTAAAAAAAAACAAAAACACCGAAGTTGATGTTAGTATCTAAAAACCGAAACGTCGCATTGAAAAAGTGCTCTTGATGGAAACTCCCTACGTTTCATAGTTACCAAGATAGCAATGCTAATGCATCAAATTTGTAACTGTACCTATATTTTGATCGGAGGATATATAAATTTTGAATAATTATGACCTGAGAAGCACTTCATAACACGAATTTGCCCCAAAGTTGCACATTTTTGCGATGAATTCGTGTCGAAATGCAGTTTTTGGCATAGCGTTCAGAAAAATGTTGGTTCAGCTATTTTTTTTTTTAATTAAGGGATGCAAAATATGTATTTATTTTTGCAAGATTACATCTTAAAAATCGTTACTCGGGGATTTTCGTGGTCGCCAAGTCCAGATAATATACCCTCAGAATTGACCGGGGAAACCTAGGCGTCGCGTGAGACGTTGCACGATGTATAGGTTTGAAAGTGTTGAAAAAAAGATTTTTCGACAGAGTGCTTTTGTATTATGATATGGTTGAATATTCTCCGCATTTTAAAAATATTTGGAATTATGCAAGGTGCGCCCACAAAGTAGGGCGCCAAAATAGTACATTTTTTAAATAGAACCCCCTGTATTTGAATGCATTTTTGAATTCTACGTGTAATTGTACGTCTTTTTTATTATTTGGTTAATATCCGAAAAGCTAGTAGTTTTAAAGATAATTGGATTTTTAAGAAAAATTGGGCATTTTCATGCGTCAGAATATTGTCAAAATTATTACTTAAATTTTGATTCCAGGTTTTATATCTTTCATCCTGGGTTAAGTAAAAGTCAAATAAATACATCTACTATGAAACATTAAAAATATAGCTTACAGGGTGTGTTTTTGGTAGGCCCAAAGTTGCAGAACTTTATATTAAAAATCTCACTTTTTTTAAATTGGAACACCCTGTATATTTTTCTGTCATCATTTCCCTCCTCCAAAAACCTTCAACTTTTGATAATGTCCAATACCTATCTCTGATAGTTTTCGACATACCTTGGTTTTCCTGGGTTTTATATTCTAAAGTTATATGTAATTTACATAATAGTGAGGTGGCGTTGCAAAAAAAAGACAATTTTTATCTGCCTCGTTCAAAGCTAAAATCATATTCATTAATTCATTTTTCTAACAATTCATTTAAGTCTATAAAAACTGGATAAATTTGATAGTAAAAACAAACAAATATCTTGGTTTTTCTACTTTTTATATTTTAATCTGAAATAAGTTCTACTTTACATAATAACGAGGTGAATATGAAAAAAAATGAAACTAATGTCACTGACTGGATGACATTAGAAGTTAAAAATTTGCTTCGTAGTCAAATATTTTGACTTATTCTCCAGTTTTTCGACTTAAAATAAATTGTTTGAAAAATAAAAATATCGATATGATTTTCGTTTTGGACGAGATAGATAAAAATTACCTTTTTTTTGCATGGCCACCTCACTATTATGTAAATTACATATAACTTTAGAATATAAAACCCAGGAAAACCAAGGTATGTCGAAAACTATCAGAGATAGGTATTGGACATTATCAAAAGTTGAAGGTTTTTGGAGGAGGGAAATGATGACAGAAAAATATACAGGGTGTTCCAATTAAAAAATGTACCATTTTGTCGCCCTAGTTTGTGGGCGCGCCCTGTATAATTCCAAATATTTTTAAAATGTGGAGAATATTATAATACAAAAGCACTCTATCGAAAAATCTTATCTTCAAGGCATTAAGTTACTCCGCGCAATCGTTGACTCACCCTGTACCTATAGAGTTGAAAATGTTACCTCCACGTTGGTACGCCACTGCTGATTTTACTTAATGGCTTGTTGATTTCTAGTTGCTCCTTAGGTTACTAACTCGTTATATAAACTTACCTTTTTTGCTTTGCCTTATAATATAAATATGCTATGTACAGTGTGTTTCTAAAGCCACTCATCATATCTGTGAAAATGCTAACAATTTTGATTTTTTTGCAGGTAATGTAAAAGAATGTACACAATGCGTGAAATAATAGCTGTATTTGCTGATCGGAACTACCTGAATACCACTTTTCCTGCCAGATGGTTAGGCCGTGCATCGCCAAGACTTTGGGCTTTTCCTCTGGTGATTTATTAAGTCCAAGGTGTAAGTATCAAGAGAAAATTAATAATCCCAATCATTTGAGAAACCGGATCTATGCAGCTGCAGAACATCTATGTTAGCAAGGGTGTTTCGGGCTACACATGAACGATGGGACTTGTGCTTCGATTTGCAGGGTCATCACATTGAAATGTATTAAATTGTATTGATAAATACCTAAATGTATATTGTTTATAGTCCATAACAAAACGTTTAAGTGGAAAATTGTAACTTTATAAACACACTGTATTATGGTAGATAAATAATGTAGTATCTGTATATCCAAAACATCATTTGGGTAAATTTATGAGAAGACAAACTGGGCTCAGATAAACATTTGAACACCCCACCAAAAACAAAATCGATAGGTTACCTGAATTATACCTTGAAATCAATAAGTACCGTCAAATGCAAGTAATGCTGCTTTATTTATGATGCAAACGTTATAGCTTACAATTTACACAATTCTAAACTGGTCGATTGATTGTTTCTACACGTTGATCTATTGTTGATGTGTATGGAAAAGCGCTTGTGGAACAATATTTAGCACTTTTTCCACTAAATATAACTAATTTGAACGTCTCGTGTTGCGTACTCAAAGCCGAACGCGTCTCTCCCTAATTTGAAATTTAGTGCACGCACGTCTCATTTACCTCGCGAAACTGTCGTTTAAATTTAAATTAACAATTACCTAATCACTGTAACGATTGGCAAATTTTTATATACATGGTAATTCAAAAATATATATTGAGGTACCATCTCAGGTGCTACGGGGGTCCCGAGAGATACAGTGGGGTCAAAATTAACCGTCCTGAGAAATCGTTATTCAGGTTTTTGTGTGGTTTATTACAATTTATTCAACCCCGTATCGCCAACCCATGTGCATTTCCGGGCAATTTCGAGAGCAGGTCTGGACTCATCGGTCCGGGAAATCCCCTGAGTAACGATTTGTACGTGATTTTCCGGCCTTTCATATATGTTTATAATCTTTATGCAAACGTTCTCCAATTTTCAAAAAAATGGCTTAAGTAGTATTGTGCATTTTTCTTTGTATTTTTCTGAACACTATGCCAAAAACCACATTTCGATAAGAACTCATTTTCCTTGTCTACATGAACAATGCTTACGTATGAGAAAAGAAACTGATTGTACAGGGTGCCCCATTTTCGACACTTTCATAAGATGCTATCAGAAGAGTAATATAGGCGTTATGGGCTTTTTTGGGCCTTAAAATGGTAAAATTTTCAGAATGAGTATACGAAGTTAGGTAGAAAAACTAACCTCATTTTTTTTTCAATGAAACACCTAGATTTTAACCTAAAAAGATAGTATAGTAAATTATCTTTTCAAAAAAATTTCAAAAAAAGATCAAAAAATTTTTTTTTGAATTTTTCAAATCTTTTTTGAATTTTTTTGCAATTATCATCCATGGGTGTGTTATATTTTTGAAAAGATAATTTAATATGCTATTATTTTAGATTAAAATATACAAGGGGTTGCATTAAAAAAAATGAGGTTAGGTCAGGTAACTTCTTTCCTCGACCCCGTATGAAAACCGCAGATTATGCAACAATCATAAACTTTAGTAATAAACATTTTTTTGTATCTCTTTTAAGAAATTTTCAAATTTTGATTTTACCATTCTAAGTTATATGATTTTATTGATAGCACTAACAATTACGAAGTGACGAAAATTGGACACCCTGTACAATCAATACAGAGACGAAAAAAAATCATATCTCTTAATGATACTGTGTCCAAATTGCCATTAATAGCTTTTTTTTGTATACTACCTAACCATGGAAATGGTGTTTAAGAACTATTAAAACCTTTAAGCCACATTTCGAAAGAAAAGGTCTCAGAAGTTTGCCGAAGACCATACTGCAACATAATTGCACAGTGCACAAGACTCAAAAGATTCGACAAGTAATGCGGCTTCCGGAAATTAAGGCATCCACTCTATGGAAAGAATTTAACATGCTGCGACTACAATCTCGTCTTTGAGTTGGAAAAACGAGAGGTCAAATATTTGCTTCCGATGATGACCTAAATGCTGCTATTACTGTTCATTTTGAAGAGCAACCAGAATAATGTATCGTGTTTTGCTTTAAGTTCCTTTTATAGATCACATAAAAATGTCTCCTCTTGAATTTGATAGTCAAAAGTTCGGAAGTTGTTCTTAGAGCAACTACGACAGAAACTAGGCTTTAGCTACAGGTAGGAAGTATAAGTGCTCATACTCATTACTTATTTAAAGGTAGGTAGTTATATAATTAGTATAATGTGGACATCATCGTGCAATGCAATCAATGACTAATGCCTGTTTGCACCGACAAATTTAAGTGGAACTTAGCTTAAGTGTCCCTTAAAATCCATGGCCAAGATGATTGAGACAATGGTTGCCATGGATTTTAAGGGACGCTTAAGCTAAGCTCCGCTTAAATTTGTCGGTGCAAACGGGCATAAATCTGGTTGCCCGGTTCGGTTTAAAAAACAGTTGGCTTTGACTGCATGCAAATCTGTACATATTTCTATTGTTACGTTCTTCCACCTTGTGGAATGGGGAGTGCGAGCTACTTACAGTACATATAAAAATAGGGTACCTTAGATAAATCTAATAGTATGATGTGGCACTTGTGTGTAACCTACTTTGTACACCTTTGTATTCTATATAAAAATGCTCGATATTATTCTTGCCTGTGAAGTCATCATCGCAATCAGTCGGTTCCGCCTTCATCATGTTTGTTGGCGATGGCTGTCCCCGAGGTACTAGTACACGATGAAACCGCTACAAATTTCGTACATGAACCACAGAAAATTTCACAAAACACTTCATACAAATCTCACTCTTTGTGGTTTTATTATTAACCTGTAGGTACCTTAACATTGAAGTGTTGTAGTATACTTGAATAAAGTTGGAAGTAACAGTAAAATTATGAAGGTCAATCACCTCGGCAAATGGAACAGCTGGAAGACACGCTGGTGAGTGAACATTCTGATGATTGGGTACACCACTCGACGAGCACGACGGTCCTAACAAAAGCTTTAGAAGGTAGCCACGAAAATTCGAGAAATTTTTTTCGGGTGCATACGTAGTAGTTATGTGGAAGTTAGGTTAAAGTTATTAAATTTGTAGAAATGCGGCTAAAAGCTTAATGTATCTATGGCGATGACGTCGTTTAACGTGGTGGAGGGAAGTGGTGGTGGTTTAGGAAGAATGTGGGGATGAATATATCCTACCAGAATACACTTTGAGCACCCCTTCCACAAATTCTACATCACAGCGGCGAAGCTCCCTACCCTAAAATACCCGTGGCCCGCGAAAAGGTACGAGAAATACACTGTGCATGCAACGTTCATTGTCTTAAAGGTGCGATAACGTAATTAAAAACAAAAACGCTTACCCGCAATTAAAGAAGGCGATGGCTTTGTTAACGTCTTTCGAAAACTGTAAACAGCACCTCGTCAAATGAGTTCACAACGCAAGCAATGAAGCCCAGATCCGTTCACCTGCCAGTATATTTACGCATACCTCTTCATAGATGGCGACGCCATCGTCCGCCATCTTTTTTACCCGCGAGTTTAAACTTTTCTCTAATTTAATTGTCCCCAATGGACCTTTGGTCTTAGGTTTTCCCATTGGTTATACTGTATAATCAATGGTTCGTGATTATACAGTATGATCAATGGTTTTTCCTTCATCTATCATGCACATCCGTGCAAATTCTTAGAAATATGAATGTATTCGCAGAATAAAACCCTTGGACACCATTATCACTGCTGTAGCTTTTTCTCGGTAATAGTACATAACTGTATTGTAGAATCAGCCCGTAATAGATAATAAATGTCAATAATGGTAAGTAAATGAATTTGTACAACTGCTCGAGGTGTGGAACTCTACTTTCTTCCCAAGTTTCACACATAATTTTTTCTGAAATCACCTCTACCATTGAATTTATAAATTCAATGCCTCTACTATCAAAATGGAAAAATTAACGTATGCAATAATGAAGTTTGACACACTGCAATGTAATAAAATTAACGTAGCAATTGTTTTTTACTTTCCTCACAAGAGAAAAAATAGTATATTGCATAATAAGTGTGCTAAGAAGCCTATTTCGCACGAGTATTTTGCGACACGAGCGAGTGTTGTAATAAAATCGAGTGCGTAATAGGCATTTGCACTCGAATTATGTACTATACTTTTTCTACGACTTGAATATAATTGATAAAAGATTGATAGATTACGATTGATTTGGTTCTAAATATTCGAACTTCGAACTAAAAATTAGAACTGTCAAGTGTCAAATGTCATGGTCTATTTAAAAGGAATACAAAATACAACGTAACCTCACTTATATTCCATGAATGTACGCAGTGAGCAAGAATTTTATAAATACTTTTTACTTAGATTGGAAGTGTATTGCAGGGTTTTTACATCCCTATTCCTTACTGCAATGTGAGTTTCATTTTAGCACCATAGATGCAATAGCCAATAGGATACAAGATACAAGTGTTGAAGTTGAAGATTACTATCTAACTAGCTCAGGTGGTGTTTGTGCTCTTTTTCATTACAGTTTTGAACGATTTCTATTGTTGTAGTTGCCAATGTATTAGGTACCTAACTATCGATTATACTAAGGCCTTCAAAACGCTGCGTCTTTTAACGAGTTTTCCTGGGAAGGAAGCATCGGACTGCCCAGTATTCTAAAGTGCATTATTCCGTGTTCCATGCAAGTCGTAATTGGCACCATCCATTAATTCTTCGAGTACTTATTGTAGTTTTCTAAAATACAAAATAGTAGCAACAGAGTGCTTAATTAACTAAACGCAACTTCAAACCATTCTTGAGTAGCCCATTACGATTATGAAAAATAATTGGCAACAGCTAATAAATTACATACAGGCTCCATTCTCCATTCTCATACAAATGGCAATGTTTAAACAAATTATGAGTAATTCTGTTCAAAGAAGTTTCCAAATGTGAAACATAACCTACAACAACAAAATCTGACGTTACTTCACTCATTAGGCAGGGCTGACAACCTACTAAATTAACATTTCGCGTTTGACCTTTAACCTGTTACGTAATATATATATATTAAGTAACAGTTCTAATTTTCATTATGCAACCGTATGATATAATGAACGATTTAGACGTGCAGTACAGGGTGACATTTTGGGTATGTTTACGACATAGGAGTAGAAAAAACACATTTCCTTCACTCGGTTTTGAGACGCAATAAGTAGTTGTTTCTAAAGTAGTTTAAGAAAAAATGCTCTTTACAGGCCGTCAAGGCTCTAGACTGATTACACCGGTCTACAGCATTTTTGCGCATGGGACATATATACCTTATTTGTATTGCTTAGTATAGCCACAAATAAGAATTAGAACAAAAAAAGGTTATGTATTTGTTTTTTTGCGAAAAAAATGCAAAAAACCAAAAAATAAAAATACCTATAAAATCTTACTTACATTGCCATGATTTATTACAAAGTAACGTTCCTACATTTATAATTTGTTTGTCTTAGAGTCTAAATGTTTAAAAATGGAACAGTTTTGCTGTTTTTGTCATGTTCAACTGAAGTTTTTCTCATTAACCCCCCAAATATGATCTTCCATCATGCTTCCAGGTTACTGGCCTTGGTAACGTGCCTAAATTCCATTATGTCTTGATGAAAGGGTTGTCCATGTTATTCCGAATAAGCTCCCATATTATCCTTAAGTTAATCTAAATGAGAATGTAACCTGTGCATCTTTAGAGACATTCTATACCTGATGATGCAAAACCAAACCCTGTCAGCTCGTCATAATTTTCAGCTCTATATGGTTTCCCAGTAAACCCTGAACGGGAAACCATGGACTATTGCCTTAAAACTGTTCCAGGATTTTTTTCTCTCTTTGCTAAGTAACCGCGGGAAAATATCACCCTCCATCTTTCTTTTTATTTGAAGGAAAACAAAGATTCCAGCATTAATTTTCGCCCCTGAAAGCTTTCAATCAAATCGCTATAACTTTTGCAAAAGCAAATATTTTCGATGTCTAATTGCACTTTTTATTTATTTTTGATTATTATAGTCAGAATATATTATGTAAATCCCATGCGCAAAAAAAATTATTTTTTTGTTGACCGGTGTTATTAACGAGCTCCTGGCGAGTTTATAATTTCGCGGTGTCTGTCCGTCCGTCCGTTAGTACCGAGGTTAGCACGATAACGAATGGGTCGATTACGATGAAATTTTGTAGGTGGATTCTTTATCGAATTTGCAAACCGCAGTGAATTGGCAATGTAGGTCAAAAAATAAGGAAGGCCCTTTTGACATTTCTGTTATTTATGAACCGAATTGCATGAAATTCAATATGGGCATAGCTCTAGCCATATAATACGCAATTCCAAAAGTTGAATCTAATCGATTTAACATTAGCAGTGCCCTTTTCGCATCTCGATCCTTTATGAACTGAATTGCACATTTTTTTTATTTAGGTAAGGTATTTAAATGAAATCTGATCTCTTTTTTATAACCTTCAGAATGTAGATCTGGCACAAATGTTTGTTAGCTTTGTAATGTTCCTAGGGGGGGTCTATCAAGCCGACACGGAAGACGTTGACTTACCCTATACTTACGGTTGGCAACTCTGGCAAAAACTACAAGCAGAGCCACCTACCTTTCAAGTCAAAACGATGGTAGTCTTGCGGCACTTTTGAATTTGGATGACAGTCGGCTCAATATGGGTTGGCACGAATGGACTCCTACGTTGTGTAGTCGGTTCTTTTATGTGTTGGGACGTGAGACATAATCGGGAAGGGAATTAAATAAAAGACAGAACTTTTGTGCGTAAGAAATGACAAGATCAAATAAATATATTAACGCACACACAAGACCATGCCAGGGAAACCTTCTACGGGACTAAAACCCTGGCATAGGCCACACAAATACATAAAATAAATCACCAACAGCAATAAAATGCAAGAGAAAATACACATAAATAAAACATCTCAAATGGTATGATAAAAATCAGATAATCAAATCAAATGCAATTAAACAAGTTCATAAAAACAAAATACACAAGACATCATAAATGCAGTGGAAAACATGATAAATCAATTCAGTACAAAAACACATCAAAATACCTGTACGATCAATAGAAATAACACAGCTCGTCAAATAAACAAATTGCATGTACATAGGTAACATGTAAATGGTGTGGCTCTACTCCATCCTTCAGTTAACATAATTTAATTTAACACGAAAAATACATGTGAGAATGCCATTGGTGAATAGCAAGTATTCATGTGAACATCGATTATCGCTCAAGCAGAACATATTTTAAATAGAGGAAATGTAAATGAGAGGCCCCCCACTCGTATTGCTAAGATGTTAAGAACTACAATCCGCACGAGACGAGTAAGCAACTGATACAGCGAACGATCTAACTGCATTAGGTACCTACTCCACGGAGACAGAAATACCCACTCGCACACACAAACATCGAAACATCAAATACAAGAGCCCCCCTTCGTATAGCTAACGCACAAGAACTGTAGCGAGCCACGAAACAGAAAGTAACAGATACAGCGAACAATCAAACTGTATTAGGTGCTTCCCTCACGGAATTGTTACGGGTCAATCGAACAGAGCAACATCACACCGATAATCAACTCCTCATGAATAACAGAAGTAAATTACTTAATTAAACAAAATAATGGCATAATCATCTGTACAATATGACACAAACATGATTCATCTAACGGTACACGAAACAAAGGCATGGAGTACGCCATGATTCAGATATCGTAGTTTATGCAAAATCAGCAAAATGTAAATATCACATTGTGGCAAGAAATTCAATGATTAAAAAGAAAGAATAAAATGGTTACTACCTGTAAATACAGCTTCAAAACACCATCACCAAAAATAATCAAGAATAATAAAAAACCGGGAAAGCGTGTGCCTTCCGTCGGCCTCGTCGCCATCTTCTCTTCATTCTCTCCTAGCTTCGTTACCAAAATCCCCTAGTATTCGGCATCTGCGCAAAACGGTCGTTGGTTATATACAGAGCATATTCTATTTTTGTTTCAGATGTAAATGTGTGTTGCCTAACCATCAGGGTGGATTATCACAGCTTTTCTTTCGTAATATAGTCATCTATAGGTACTTCCTTCCCTCTATAGATATTCTTTGGAGGATCTTCCTGCCCAACCTTATTTGCTTTTCACCCTTTTGATACTATAGCTAATTGGATATCTACGAGCGAGTGCGACCTGGTATTTTACAACGTAGGGAATCCGATCAT